TGCCTTTAGTCAACACCTTGTAGATGTACACTACATTTTAGAGTCATTATCTAATGCTGACAGGCACTGCCCTCTCCCATACCTGTGCCACGCAGATCAGATCTCCTGCTAATCAGGCACCCTTGTCTCTGCTTGTGTAGATGGAGCCAGGCCAGGCTTCCCCTGTTTGTTTAGGTCAAGACCCCAAGGTCACTGCGATGTTCGCGGTCCCCGGTCCCACTAGTGCAACAGGCAGGCCTGAAAGATGCCTGGCATGAGAGCGAGCGGAAGACGCGGCCAGGGTGATGCCTGGTTCTACCGGGTCACATGGAAGGGATTTGGCTGAATGAAGGTGTATTCATGGGCCCAAACTTCCTCAGCCTCTGAAAGGGGAGGCTTGTCAATCTCAGACCAACCTCTTTTCAACTCATCACAGCGCATTCAAGGTATACCATTTGGCTTCCATCTGTATCCCCTCCAAACCCCCCAGTTCTTTTCAACCTCCACCAGTGAGGAAAAGTCATTTGGGGAAGTAAACGTCAATAAACTGCCCCACACGGTGAACCTCTTGTGTGTTGCCTGCTGCCGAGGGAGAGGGGGAGCCTGGTCCCTGCCCTGGGGGGTGAGGGAAGGTGCCCCCCATAGAAGTGGGACAGGATGGCCGGAGTGGGGGCAGCTCTGGGACTAGTTTCAGGAAGGGCCCAGCCAACTGCTTTGTGTGGCCTTAGTCACTGGAAACATTGTGAACAAATGTCCATGCCTGTGTTAGAGTTTCCACTGGGGCCAGGCCCCACTGGTTCCCTGGCTCCTGCCGCCTGGGGAAGATGCTGCTTGTCCTTAAAGGGGGTTGAGGAAAACCAGGTCGAAGGCCTCACGTGGCATGGGGCGGGTCACACAGGTCCAGTCACCTGCCCTGAATCAGCCTCCAAGGAAGCACCTCAACCTACACTACCTCCAGACACCCGGCTGGTGTGCAGTTTGCCGAACACTTTCCCAAATGTCACACCGATGAGGAACTTAAGGGATGAGCGTGTGTCTCCTCCCTTTTAGAGACGGGAGACTGAAGGCCTGATGACTTGGGAGTGCAGAACTCAGATTGGAACCCAGTCCTGGGCCCTTTTCTCAGAGTTAACAAGTATTTAGTCAGTGCCAGCAGATGGGTGGTGCGAGGGCCCTGCCCTGCTGCTTAGGGCCGGCGCGATTCCAGCACCTTAGGCTTCTGGAGGAGTCTGGGGACTGGAGCGACTGCATAACAAAGGGCTGGGCACCAGATCCTAGCAGGAGGGCCTTCTGTGGAGTATTTCTGTTCACAGACATTTACTGAGAGTCTCTGAGATGCCTCATGCCACACTAGGATAGGGGATGCAGAAATAAGGAGGCTTCCAGAAGCCCAAAGTATGCCTGGCCCGCGGGAGAATGAGATGTGTAAGCAGGCCTGATGTGGAGACCTGTCCAGCGGGGGAGCACTGGGGCTCCCAGCTCAGTCTTGCACAGCCACCCACCAGAGGGGAGGGAACTTAGCTGAGTTTTAGAGGCCCAGCTGGAGGTGAGACCAGAGGGAAATTGTGCTGGGAGAGTAGGAGCCAGACCTGTACAGCAGACCCGTCCAGCTTCTTGGAGGGGCGGTGGCTCTGGCTCACAGGAGCAGGGCCACCTCGGTGCGTCCAACTCCCTTAAATTCTCTCCCGTTAAGGCTGTTTGCCAGAGAACAGCCCCAGGAAAGCAAGCGTGGGCATCCTCTGCTCCACCAGCCCCTGACTCCACATGGATAGAGTTTGTAGCACTTGGTGCTCTTGGCTTCCAGGACCCCTCTTGGAAGATTTTCCTCTTACGTCACTAGCTCCTCCTCATCAAAGGGGCCCAAGTCTCAGTCCTTGATCCTCTGCTCTCTGCCCACACTCCCTCAGAGATCTCCAGGCTCATGACTTTAAATACCACCATTGTGCTGATGTCTCCAAACAAATCCCTCCAGACCCCTTTCCTAAGCTGCTCCAGACTCATATCTGACTTCCTTCTCGGTATCTCCACTTGGATCCCCAACAAGCATCTCAAAGCCCTGACCTCACCAGCAGCCTCAAGTCTGATCTTTTTGTGATCTCTATCTTAAACAGCATCTTCATTCTTTCAATTGTTCAGGCCAAAAACCTTGGCGTCATCCTTGACTCCCTTCTTTCTGTGATGCTCCATTTTTGATCCTTAAGTGCTTCCTTGTGACTTGACCTTCAAAATCCAGAATGAGACCCATCTCACCACTTCCCTCTGCTCCCATGGTCCAGCCACCGTCATCACACTGGTGATGTCTCACGGATATTGCGGCAGCCTACTACTTGTGGAGAAGCTGTTCTAGACACAGCGGCCAGAGGCATCCTATTAAAACCCGTAAGATCACGTCCCTCACCTGCTCCCACCTCACTCAGATAAAGGTCAGAGTCCTCACTGGGACCCACAAGGGCCTGCAAGAGCCACTCCACCTTATTCACCTCTCTGACCTCATGAGGGACCACTCCCCTTCGCTCACTGTACTGCATCCTCATTGGCCTCCATCTGCCTCAAACGTGCCTGGCAAGCCCTATGTCAGGGCCTTTGAACTTGCTGTCCTTTAGTCACTGTGCCTCATGTAGTGGACAGAATAATGGGTCCCTCAAATATGTCCACATCCTAATCCCCAGGACCTGTGATTAGGTCATCTTACATGACAAAATACTTTGCAGGTCTAATTAAGGATTTTTGAGATGGGGAGATTACTTAGCATTATCCAGGTGGGCCCAAGATAACCACAAGGGTCTTTATAAGGAAAAGAGGGAGGGAGGAAAGTCAAAGAGAAGGAGATGTGATGACAGAAGCAGAAATTGGAATGATGAAGGGCCATGAGCCAAGGAATGTGGGCGGCTTCTGGAAGCTGGCAACAGCAAGGTACGAATTTCCCCCGGAGGCTGCAGGAAGATGCAGCTCTGCCAAATCCTTGATTCCAGCCCAGAGACCCTTTCTGGACTCCTGACCTCAAGAACTGTAAAATATGACATCTGTGTTGTTTTAAGCCACTAAGTTTGTGGTAACGCTATAGCAGCGGTAGAAAATGAATACACCTCAGTTCCTCAGTGCATTCCTCAGGGAGGCCTTCTCTGGCCACCCAATTTAAAATTTTAACCTTTCCCTGAAACTTCCTATCTCTCACCCCTTATTTATTTTTCTCCTTAGCAGATACCACCATTTAACATATTAGACATTTTACTTAGTTGATTCATTGTCTTACAGCCCATTTGGAATGTGAGCTCCAAGGAGAAAGGAATTTTATTGTCAATCTTGCTTATAGATGAATCCCAAGGTACATAGTAGGTGCTCAGTGGATATTGGTAGCCTGGGTGATCGGAGGAGCTGGCCTGCCCTAACCATGCAGCTTAGTGACTAAACCTACATGTGCCCAGACACTTCACGTGCCTGATACTGGTCCATCCTCACAGCAGCCCCATCAGGTCGGTGGCGTTAGCATCCCCATTTTACAGATGAGGGCATGGAGGTGCCTGGTGTTGCACTCGTGCGGGCTGACTCCGGTGCCCCCTCTCTGAGCCATGCTGCTGTTTCCTCCCTTTCTGCCCTGGAGTCCTCAAGGGCAGGGGGTGGGGGTAGGGCTCCTGTGGGAGGAAAAGTTTGGGCCCAGGTGCTGGAGGCTTTAGTGCCCAAAGGCCTAAATCACTGATGGTAAAATCATGCTCGTTAATGAGGAAGAGACTTCAGGGTGGAGTGCTGTTTGTTTTTGTTTTTCTAATCTTATTGAGGTGAGCTGCACAGAACATAAAATGAACCACTGTGAAGTGTGCGGTTCGGTAGCATTATTACATTACAATGTTGTGCAAACCTCCATCTCCATCGAGTTCCCACCCAAGAGAAAACCACATACCGAGTAAGCAGTTTCTCCCCATTCCCCATTTCCCCCCGCCCCAGGCAACCACCAGTTCGCTCTCTTTCTATAGGTGGATTTACCCATTCTGGGTATTTCATCTAAATGGAATCACACAGTATGTGACCTTTTACACCTGGCTTCTTTCACTTAGCGTGATGTTTCTGAGGTTCGTCCATGTTATAGCATGTATCAGCACTTCATTCCTTTCTATGGCTGAACAATATTCCATTGTGTGTGTGTGCGTGTGCGTGTCCACGCGTGCACACGCACACACATGTATGTATTTTTTAGGGGGGAAGGCAGCTTGAATGAGTTTTTAGAGCCAGACAGTCACATTTTGAATCTGGATCCCATGGAGATCTAACTATGTGGTATTAGGCAAAGGAATTCATGTCTATGATGTTCAGAGTCCACCAAATAGAGACTGTGGGGCTATTGTAAGAAGCAGACATACTGTGTATATCTAAGGTGCCTAGAGCATAGTAGGCAGTGTATTAATGGCAGCAGTGAACATGATTATTCAATCAGGGGCAAGTTTATCATGTAAACATTCTGATCTCAAGTCAGCCAGGGTCTTGGCTTCCTTGGAAAATAAGCACGTCCTTAGTCCCCCAGTCCTGGGAAACCAAAGTCGGCAGAGGGGTTCCAGGGCTGAGCTCATGCTTGCTTTTGTATTTGTAGAGCTCTTTACATTTCCAGTAGATTTTGTCATCAGTTTTTCCCTTCCTTATTTGTTCAACAGTCTTTCAAATCATGGAGGTTGAAAGCTACATGGCAGCGAAGGGGAGAGGAATTACCTTTAAAACATTCCAAGTAAGCACATGAAAGGAGTTCTTTAGACACGGGGGAAATGCAAATTAAAACCACAGTATGATACCAGAATGACTCAGATTGAAAAGACTGACCACACCAAACATTGGGGAGTGACTGGAACTCTCATACATCACTGGTAGAGGTGTAAAATGGTACAACCACTTTAAAGGCCATTTGTGAGTTTCTTTTAAAAATTCAACATACATCTACCCTCTGAGCCAGCATTCCACTCCTAGGTATTTACCCAAGAGAAATGAAAATATTTGTCCATGGAAGTCTTG